TATATATAAAGAAATAGTCATAACAATAAAAGTAAATTTTTATATCGAAATATAGTTGAACCAATAAAAAAATATCATAAACATAGAACATATTTATCCAAAGTTAAAAAATAAAGTTATTGCAACCCTCCAGTCAGATTTTTAGAAAATTGATTTCAAGTAAATGAACAAAGCTATGATTCATACTAAAAAAGTTTATAATTATAAATGAAGATAAACACAGGCCAAGATCCTTTTAACCCTTTTTTTATATATACTTTTGTGAAATTTTTGTAATAATGTATTGATCTAAATTAACAATAAGGCATTATTTAGTTTTTAGAAATCAATTAACAAAGGAAAGATTGCCATATAAAATATTCTCTATTGCTGAGAACCGTAACCATTAACGAACTAAATCAAACCTTTTGTTTGGTTAGCTCGTTAATTTATCAAAAACCTTTTAATTATGGCATAGTATTGTTTGCAGTTTCTTATATTTATGTAAAGACTGCAGTTATAGATCTTATATATGATCTTATATATAAAATCTGCATTTATGATCTTATATATGATTTATAGATCTTAACGTTTCAATCTGATCTTTTACAAAGCTTAATTTGCTTAATTTATTTTTCCATCAAACAACTTATCACTTTAAAATTAGTATTTTTACTGCAATTTAAAACTATGAAAGATTTTGTATACTGATAGTCATAAAATAAAAAAGATAAAAAAAAAAGTGTTTAATTTTATCATAACAATAATCGTTTTAACATTATTAAATTTAAAGAAACTCTATGGTTGTATAATAAACCTTGTTTTGCCGATGAAGGGGTTTACTAGATTTTTATAATTCAACTTTTAAATTTGTTTATTCTAAATCTTTTAACTAGTCTTCGACCAACCGTGTGTGCATTTAGTGGAATACTTATTTTAATTTTATCTTTTGAACAAAGCAGACATAGCTTGTTTAAATAAAAATGATGACTTTTTCATATGATTGCATACTGACGAATTTGGTGTGTTGCAATATAGACGAGTTGAGAAAACCTTTTTTTTTCATAAAAACAACATATTTGTAGGTGAAGTAAAAAGGAATTTTTGTTTCACTAAAAAATTTTTGGTTCAAAAAAAACATCCAACACAATATCTCTTATGCGCATGCGTGAAATTCTACAGTATTGCTCTGGAGTATAAAAGGGTTAATTAGGACAATTACGCGTTACGATGTTTAAAAATCTTTTAACTAGTCTTCGACCGATACGATGATTAAATCGAATACGATGATTAAATCGATACGCGTTACGATGTTTAAATGTAAACATTTAAACATCGTAATTCTGAGTAAAAATATTTAATCTTCTTTCTTTGCTGTAAACAATAAAATATCTAGTTAAGCAAAATATTTTTTAGGCCGTGGTTATTGTTCCGACACTGGATCCCAAAGTAAAATGGCTATTCTTCCAACATACATGCGCAGTATTCATACGCATGTTTTCTAATCAAATTTTTTTAGCGAAAATATCAAAATAAGATTTTTGCTTTTTTTAAACGAAGTCATTGTTTGTACCCGCGTACAAATAAGGTAGGTATTTATTCAAAAGAAAAATATTTTAATATTTATTTAAATTGAGTACATAAATTAATTTAACTTGTATAAAAAAATTATAAAGTTAAGTTAAACAAGAATTTTAAGAGAAGTCGTCAAAATAATTAATAATAACTTATGTTTAAATACGCACCTACAACTAAAAAAAACTTAGTTGCACGCGCATGTATGTCGGAAGTAGTGGTAAAATTGAATGGGTAAGCCATGTGTGCTTCAATTCCTTTCCTAATGCTACAAAAGCCCTTAACGTGGTCCAAAACTAAAGAACATGCTACTGAGACGAATTACGTTATGGATAAATGGAAACTTTAGTGAATTGATGCGCGAAATTAAATATATATCAGAGTAAAATTAATACCTTCAAAAAAGAAAAGGACATTTGAGGGATATTCAAAAATCTAATAATGGAAGGTAAAGTTGCTGCTGCACTTAAGGTTTTAGATAGAGAGTCATCAGACATTTTGCAGTGCTCGGAAAAAGAATCGAAAGAATTGAAAAATAAACACCAATGCGAATTTCTGGTAAAAGATAACTGTTTACTATAAGGGCCGTTGTAAAACACTTCAGAATGTCTTTTTGATTAAATTGATGAGATAAACATATTTAACTCAGCTTCACGAGCTAAAGGAGCTGCAGGTTTTTCTGGATGGATGCAGCCCTTTATCGTCAAGTCCTATGCTCAAAATGTTTTAGACCCTCTTGTAAGACGCTTTGAAAAGTAGTAGCGGTATTTACAAAAAATCTTTAGTTCATGCGTTATTGAGTAAGCCCTATATTGCTTGTCAATTGATTACCTTGGAAAAAAATCCCGGGAATTGTCCTAAAGTAATAGGAAAAATGCTACAAAGGATTGTAGGTAAAACCATAAGCAAGCACTGTCAAAAAGAAATCAAAGAAGCAACTGGACATCTACAGACCTGCGCGTGACGCCGTGCAGTAACAAAAGCTGCTATAAATATCATGCAAGAGACATTTTATCAAATTGAGCTTTGCATGGGTATTATGTAAAACGATCAAAATACTTAACTGTAAAATCTTATAATCAAGCTAAAAAAGCTAATCTCATTTTTTTATATATATTTGGAAACACTATAAACATAACTACCTGAGGAAAAAGGTATTTAGGAGCCGCTCTTGGTTCGGCAACATGAAAAAAAAAGAGTATTAAAAGGATTTAGTGAATAAATGGCTCAATGAGTTTGACAATCTTTGCAAAATTGCTAAAACACAACCACAGCTTTTGTTAAAGAATATAGATCTAAATTCACACACTTCTTACGCACGATTAAAACCTTCTATGATTTCGTAACACCAGTTGAAACATTTTTATCAGCAAATTTTTTGCCTGTGTTGTTTGGTACTCAGCGTTCCATAATCAAGAAGCAAACAGGAACTTATTGGGGCTGAATCCATTAGAGCTAGACCTGGGTATTTGTAATTTAATAACTGAAGCCAAGGAACAACATACTGCTTTCAAGAAAATACCCAAGTTGAACGTAGAATTCATACTTGACAAGTTAAAATTCATGAAAGAAATATATGATTATGGTAAAATGGTTTCAAAACTAAAAACGAAAACTTACATTAATAAATCAAAAAAAAAGAAAGAGTATAATAATATACGAAAAGCTTCCAGAAAATCTTAAACTACTGGTTGAACAGACCTGTGACAAATGATCCAGCAGCTTCAAATGCTCCAGCTAATTACCTTGTGGAGGCCACATTACCAAGGCCCACAAAGACAAGTTCAGCTTCTTAAGGGCGTCGTTACCTGCTCTACGAACCAAGAGTAAGGTGAATTTAGAAAGAACGAAGGTATATTAGAGCGAAATTTGACGAGATACACTCTTTTTCATGCAAAAAAGGTGTCTTTGCGTGCAACAGACTTGATAATTTCAGAGATTTTTTAACTGTTTATTTGACTAAAGTTTGTACTGTTGTTCAAGCGGAGCCGCATTTAATTCCGTTGACAAGTAAAAAATTTCATCTCAAAACTGCAAATGTAAGCGACAATGCTAGACTGAATATGATAAAAAAAGGGTTTTGGAAGAAGGAAGAAGATGCATTTTTCAATGTTAGAGTAACGCAAGTAAATTTCAATTCCTTCAAAAAACGACCAACAAAACAGTGACTCCGTAGACACGAAATAGCAAAAAAACATGAATATTTAGAAGAAGTTTTAGATTTGAAGACGATACATTCACTCCATAGATTTTCGGTACAAATAGTGGGCTCGGAGACAAATGTAAACGCTTTACAACACTGGCACATACAAAAAATATTTTACTTACGGATACTTACGTTCAAGTTACATACTTACGCATGCGCACCTAATCATAACGCTTTTTACTAGAATCTAAATGACTGTAAATGGGATGGTCAGAAATAATCTAATAAATGGAGGAAGGAGGGAGGGAGAGGGAGGTGTCTTAAAAATGAGATAGTCAAAATTTTAGAAAATCTTCAGTTTTCTAAATAAAACGAAAACCTAGAAGAAAATTGATTTACTCAGAAAAAGTGCATTATTTTTTTTTTTTAAGATTAAAATATGTATAACCTTTATACGTCTTTAAAGTCCTCTGGACCAAGGCTTGTAAACTTTCAGTAAGTAAATGCATTAGGTTAATTCTATAATTCAGAAGACAAAGGTCGGTTGTACAGTTTTTTGTAAAAATGAGTTATGTATGAGACTTTTTAATTGTTTTTAGTATCTAAACAGAGGTATAAAGACTGCTGTCCTACGACAATGTGAAACAATGTTTTTTTTGTATATTTATTTTATATTCTTTGGTCCATTTCAAAAATGTTGCGTAATGAAACATTTTTTTTAAATATATATTTCAATGATTTCTTTTATCTACACATAAACTAAAGTTTGTTTTGCGTCCTAAGTTTTATTACTCTTTTTTAACGTTTTCACTTATTTGATATGTAGACTATTTATTTTACTATTTCCTTTCTCCTGAACAATTTCTAGATTGTGACAACCGACCATTGACTTCTGAGGTACAGAATTAATGTTAAAAAGTAGACTTTAATTTCTCAAAAGTTTCAAACTTCACAATTAAGTCATTTTTAAAACTAAAAGACTAGTTTTTTGTTGTAAATATAATTATTGTAAATATACATTTATAAATGAAAAAAAATATAAAACTATTATTAAAAAGTAACAAAGCGTTTAGTTTAATACAATAGTGGAAAAATTACATGTATACAAAGAGATATATATAAATAATACTTTTTATTCAAAATGTAATAAGTATATATATATATATATATATATATATATATATATATATATATATATATATATATATATATATATATATATATATATATATATATATATATATATATATATATATATATATATATATATATATATATATATATTTATTTATTTATTTATTTGTTTATTTATTTATTTATTGCAAATAGCATAAACATATTATAATAACACAATGTTATTGGTACATTGAAGAGGAGGTAGACACTCTCACGGAGACCTTTTTTTTACTCATTCTTTTTTTGCTATCACCTTGTGAAAGTCGTTCATGACCAACATGTAATTTTGGCAGTATTAAACAAGCTGTGTAAATTAAAGCAAATATGCTAAGAGTAAACGTCATCACTATTGCTTTGAGTTCTTCTTTTACAAAATTAAAAGTCAGTAGGTATGCAATCATCACAACTAATAAAGCAATGCATGTAAAACTAACAAATTTCGGCTCGTAAAAGTGGTGTTCCAGGTTACGTTCACGAAACGCACAACAAGTTGCCAAAATAAGTATGATTAACGGTATGAAGTTTGAAATCAAGTTTGGCACATTAAAACCTACCGCGCAAATTTTTCGAATAAAATAACCATATGAAACATTATTGCTCTGCTTGTTGTTAAAAATAAATATAAAAACCGGAATCATTTCTACAAGAAGCATTAGTGCAATGGAAGCAATTTGTAATGTTAATAGTTGGCACTTGAACGTACTTGTGGCTTTTTTGTTTAAATACTCAGCTGCCATTTTCGTTTTGATTAACAATGTAGAAGAATAAACCATGAGTAACAAAAAAAATATCACGTTTCGTGAGGTGCACATGTTATTAGTTGGCTCAAAAACATTCATATATCCAAATAAAAAACTACAAAATGGCAAACTGCTGGTCAAAAGATGTAAAAATGGTTTATCTTCTATAAGTAAATATCTAAATTTATAAAGATAAGTTCCGAAAATCAAAATTAAAATCAGGCCAATACTGCTAACAACTATAACTGCGATCCCTTCTGGATCTTTGTAACTCAACCAAGTTATTTTAGTTTTTGTGCAGTTAATATTATTTTCCGTATGATATCCATCTGTGCAGTTTGAGCAATTGAAATCCTTTGTTGAATTAGCATAGCTATAAAAACCTAAGCATTTTTCGCAACGCCAGCAACAAGAGTTTGGTAACATTTGGGTCACATTACCTTTTTCACAATCTTCTCTACATTTTGAACGAGGTATTTTTTTAAACGTGTCGTTTATGAACCAATATGGCCACTTTATATTGTCAATTGTAATTTTAAAAATAGATCTATTTGTAACATTGGTTTCATTGGTCCAATTACCTATGTTAACATAATTCAAAGTTCCATTTTTTTCATCATACTGCAAGTTTTCGATTGTGTAAAGAGCGGGTATTGGATCGTTTGAGTTATTGAATCTAATTAAGTTGCCATTGTTACTAAAACTAGAAATATTTTTAATAACGTAAGTTAATTTTTCATAATCAATTACTGCATTTATACGACTTTTATTGTAGCAGTTCTTATCATAATACTGAATTCCATTTGCTAACACTGTTACGGCATCAACCCAGTTAGAAGTCACTTCTAATTCAGACACGTTCAACGTTACATTGTCAACTGAAACAGAACAGTTATCTCCAAATAAAATTGATTTGTTGATTGAAATATTATTTGGCTTACAATTAAATTCATTCATTAGATAATTCTGCAGCCACACATCATTTAAATAATTTGTTTTTATCTCGTTATTAATATAATCACTTAGGCCAAAAATTTTTGTAAACTTTAATGATACTGATAACAGACCGTGCATTTGTTTTATTGGTACATCATGCTTGTAAGTTTTATTTTGTGCTTCGTTGTACCATGCTTCGCTGGTTAACCACATGCGAGATATATTCTCTCTATGCGCTCTTTTTAAAATAAATTCTCCTAACTGTTTAAAATAACAAAACATCACAACAACTGTGGCATTCGATGCTATTTTAATTTTATCAATAGTCTTGTTTATTTCATCATTGAATTCTTCAGCTGGATAAGTAACAAAACTTGTATTAACAATACAGATATTTTTTGATTTTGCTTCAATTTCAAGCTCAGCAAGTGCTAGTTTACCATAAGGGTCATTAGAACCAACTGCAAAAATATAACTCCAATTAAATTTAATCATTATATCTAGCAATACCTGAACCTGCATACTATCTGACGGAATTACTCGAATAAAAGATGTGTACATTTTGGCGTCACTAAGCAGGCGACTTGAAGCCCAAGGGCTTAAAATAGGAACTTTTTGTTGTGACATTAGAGTTGCTAAAGGAATAGTTGTAGAACTCATATCCGTTCCTAAAATAGCAGCAGGTGATTGCGTAAAGTTTTCATAGTTGCTGCACTGATTATATTTGTCATGACAAACTGATGCTGTTTCAATCAAGGACACAATTTTAATTCCACTAGTCATTGTCAATGATAAATCACCACAGTCATCATCAAACTGAATACCAATCTTTACTGATTGCGTTTTGTTGTTAGCTATGGCAACAGCTTGTTTAATTGCGTAAATTGTAAGTAATCCATTTAGGCTTACATTTCTACATTTGCTGTCTGGTTCGGTGAATGTTGAAATTACCATTATTGTGTAGTTTCCTTTTATGACGCTTGAAAGTCGAATAAAATTATTTAGTGTATCTGTTTTTTCAATATTAGATGCTTGTTCACATTGTAGTAAAGTAGCACATGTAAATAAAAAGATCAAGCAAAAAACCGGAACCATTGCTGATAGCTTGCAACTTTGTTAGTAACGGTACTATTTATTTTTAAACTAAATGCTCAATTTTCTTATATTTATGAAATAAGTTGAGTGCAAATATTTGTGTCTATTTTTTAAAAATAGTTTTCTGTTTGTGTTTATAATTTTCAGTTAAAAAAGTTATTTCTTTAAGTTTTTATTTTAAAATAAAATAAAATCTCTAATTATGAATGGTTATTTGAATATAACCAATGTTTTTACAAATTAAAGAAATCCATTTTTGATATTAATACGTTTTTTGTATTAACAGATTTCAAAGATTAAATCATTTCTATAGAGAAGCTATTTTATAGTTTAAGTATTATTTTGAGAATGTTGCATACATACGTTGCGGCGTCGCTTGGGTTAATACCAGTGCAGCAAATTATTGGTGTCACCCTTCTAGACTTTTATTAATTGGGAAATTAAATGAAGAAATAGCAGACTTATAAAAAATATCGAAAAATTAAAACCTGAAAACTTTTGGTTCGGCTATGCGCGAAACTAAATTTACACTAGCATGAACAGTTCTGTCATATTTTCAATTTTTTTGTTATAGTGTCACCTCTATGCTTTAGGTTGTGATCAGAGCCGTCCTTAGGGTGGCGCGAGCCTTCCTAACCGCTCCAGGCCTAGCGTTTGGAAAGGTTTCGCGCAGCAAGGCCATCATAAACACGAGCAATCAAAACTATTACTTATTGTTAACGAGTGTAAGGCCTCGCGCACCAACGCCTTACTCTTGTTAAAAAATAAAAGAAGTTACTGTCGTTAAATAATAAGAAAAAGTTTTAGTTAAATGAAAATAATATAAAAATAATATACGAGCCAAAAATATCTAACTACCCTCGCAATTATTTGTTAAATAAAAAAATATCAACATGATTGTCCTTTGTATGTGATAATAGCAAACAAAAAAATGCAAATCTTTGTTCGAAGCTATTGTTCTGTTGAAGCTGGTATCTAAATATTATTCGAAGCTATTGTTCTGTTGAAGCTGGTATCTAAATATTATTCGAAGCTATTGTTCTGTTGAAGCTGGTATCTAAGTATTATTCGAAGTTATTGTTCTGTTGAAGCTGGTATCTAAATATTATTCGAAGCTATTGTTCTGTTGAAGCTGGTATCTAAGTATTATTCGAAGCTATTGTTCTGTTGAAGCTGGTATCTAAATATTATTCGAAGCTATTGTTCTGTTGAAGCTGGTATCTAAATATTATTCGAAGCTATTGTTCTGTTGAAGCTGGTATCTAAATATTATTCGAAGCTATTGTTCTGTTGAAGCTGGTATCTAAATATTATTCGAAGCTATTGTTCTGTTGAAGCTGGTATCTAAATATTATTCGAAGCTATTGTTCTGTTGAAGCTGGTATCTAAATATTATTCGAAGCTATTGTTCTGTTGAAGCTGGTATTTAAATATTATTCGAAGCTTCTAGAAAATACTTTTAAAGAGTGAAAAAGTTAAAAAAAAAAATTAATAGATCAGGCGAAAATTTCCTTTTGTTTTTCAAAACTAAAAAAGAAGAAAAAACAAAATATCTAAAAAGAAGAATCGAGAACGAATTAAATGAAAAAAGTTAAAATGAAATTCAAAAGTAACGTAAGTAAAATAAAATTATTAAAAAAAGTTAAATAAAAAAAAGGTAAAAAATGAATAGGCTGCACACCCGATCCCCAATCTTGGTTAGAAGGAGCATTTATCAATTGTCATGCGCTTTATAAAAATTAAAATGAATGCAACTTCTCTCAAGAGTTAAAATGAAGATGTGAGCATCGAAGAATATTTCCTTTGATTCTTGACGTTAAATCAACTACAGAAAAAAAATCTAACTGATGTCCTTTTACAAGAGTTAGATGAAATTGGAATTGCAAATGAGGAACTGAAGGGGAAAATGGTATGAAAACGGTTCCAATATAAAAAGTATCCACTCTTGAGTACAGGCACAGATCTTAGAAATAAATCCAAAAGCATTTTACATACCCTGCGCTAGCCATAGCCTCAACTTCCTAATTTGGGACGCAGCAAAATGATTATCTAAATCTACAATGTTTTTTGATGTTGTGCAAAGAATTTATGTACTTTTTCCTTCGTCAAAAATGCAATGGGGTAATTGAGCACTTTTATATGGGGTAAATGAGCGCCTTTTGAATTTACTGGTTTTTATTCTTATAATATTTTTGATAATAAAATTATTATTTTAAGATACAAATAATTTGAGTTTTTAGCTCATATTTTTCACTTTTTTATAACAGATTTGTGGAAATGGTGAGAAACTATTTAATATCAACTCAAAAACAGTCAAAAACTTACTCAGAAAGTGAACTTAAAAGAGCTATCGAACTTGTTAATGGTGGAGAACCTTGTAAACGTGTGGCAAAACTGCTAAACATACCACACAGAACTTTAAGGTGTCATACTAGTGGTTTACGCAAAAGTAGTGTGGTTGGTCGAAAGAGTTCTTTGCTACCAGATGAGGAGACGTCAATTGCACAATACATTACAACTTTTAATGATTTTAGGTATGCATTTGATAAAATAGACCTCGAATTATTTGTACAAAGTTTTCTTAACAAATCTAGAAGGAACTGCCCGTATTTTAAATAAAATTTGCCTGTTGATGATTGGGTAAGATCATTTTTAGAGCGGCATGAAACTCTTTTGTCTTATCGAGCATGTCAAAATATTTGTAGAAAGCGTGCTGCAATTTCATGTGACTCTGTAAATAGATTTTTAAACAACCTAGAAGATACAATAAAAATTTTCTACCTCAAAACATAATAAACTATGATGAAACTAATCTTTCTAACGACCCAAAATCAAAACAAATGATATTCCGGAAAGGTACTAAACATGCTGAAAGAGTTATAAATACATCAAAGTCATCAGTGTCTATAATGTTTGCATGTACTGCTGATGGTGTTTTTCTTCCTCTATACACAATGTATAAAGATGAGCGTCTGATCGACACTTGAATACTTGGAGGTCCAAGTAGTGCCCGCTATAACCGTTCAAAATCTGGTTGGTTTGATGGCTATTGTTTTAAAGATTGGATGCAAACATTAGTAATACCTTACTTCACACATGTTGATAACAACACACCAAAACTTCTTTTAGGTTATAATTTAACATGCCATTTATCTATTGATGTTAACGAAATTTGCGAAGCTAACAACATTAGGATGGTCTTCTTACCTCCTAATAGTACACATTTACTACAGCCTCTTGACCTTGCAGTTTATGGACTCATGAAATTAGCATGGAGAAAATTAATTACTGAATGGAAAATTGGTGAAAGAACTTTCATACATCCCTACCGAAAAATGTTTTCCCAAGATTGCTCCTTAATCTCTTGACTAATATGAATCACATACAAGAATTCGCTATAAATGGGTATAAAACAGCTGGTATCTACCCATTAAACAAAAAAAAAATTATTGGCAAGATTTTAAGAATACACATATCTAAATCTTCTCAGAACTTAAAAGTTAATTCACAAGTTAATTCTTGAACGTCTTGCAGAACTTCGAGAAGCTTCTGCTAAAAAGCCTGGGGCAATAATGCGTGGGAAAAAAGTTAAGGTTTCATCAGGAAAAAGTGTTTCACTAAAAGATGTTTCAAAAGATTCTTCTACTTCTAAATCCCAATCAAAACAAAAGCTAATCATAATAAAAAATACCCAACTTAATGAATCCTTAAATGTAGAAAGTTAAATTTGAATACTTTTAAAGAAATTATTGAATATGATATAAGAAATTATTGAATATGATTATGGCCTTTAAGCTCAAAGATGTGTATTGAGCTAAAGAAGCTTCTGATAAAATATCTGATTGTATACAGAAGAAAAAAAAGTAAAACCTTAAGAAAAAAGATTTTTTTTATTGAAAAAAGTGATTCATACGATGATGATTATGACCTTGAAGATTCACTTTTCCATCAAAAACAAGCACACGTGCAGACAGCGCCGTGCGGTGGTATTTTGGCGCCTGGAGCAGGTATACTTATAAAGCGCCTTTTATGGGTAGATTAATTTTTTAGGTGACCAACATATTCAAATTTTTCTAAAGTAGAATACAGGTAGCCTTCAATTAACGCGGTTGTATTTGCTTGATTTTTGGAATAACAGTGCACTTTACAGAAAACTCTCGAAGTTCTACTAATAAAATTTGTAGAACTTCGAGAGTTCTACAACTATTCTTGAAATATTTTCTGTGCATTCCATTGTGCATGTACCATTCTCTCAAAAATTGGACAAATGCACACGTTAATGAAAGGCCGCCAGAAATAGATCGTTAAGTTGGCATTAATGACAAGAAAAATAAAAACCTTTGATTCATCGTTTTTATATTCAATTTTTATACTAGGATACATTTACAAAATCAACAAAATATGTATAATATGTATATAATAATCGCGGATTAAATAAATCAATAATTTATTTAATCCTTTATATTCCATATTTGGACTAAGTATAATTGAGAATAATAATAAATTATTCGCAGTAAGTCAGAAGAGATTTTATTTCCAATTATTCGATCAATAGAAAGCCAAGTAGCAAAATCAATCGATTTTGATAGCTTTAACAACGATTTGGACAAAAAGCGAAAAAATTATCTTATTTGAAAGAGCATTTTTATTTAAAATATACTCGCCTCGTTTTTAATTCAGCAAAATCGTTAATTAAATCATCATAATTTAAGGAATCACATATTTTGCTTTCAATCGACATCATAGCTCGACCTACTAATCTCTCTTGACTCATTGACGATCTTAAATAATTTTTTATTATTTTTAATTTCGAGAAACTGCGTTCCCCAGAAGCAACTGATACAGGTAAAGTTAACAGAATACGTAAACAGATGAACAAATTTGAAAATACTGTTGTTATATTATTTTTGTGCAAATAGTTCAGTATTTCTAGTGGTTCTATTTGAGAGGGTAACACTGCAGATAAATTTCTAATTTCTTCACAAAGTTCTAAACCGTCAATATCTCTTTTATCATTTTCTGGTAATAATAAATGTAAGTCCATGCAATTTTTTAATATATTTGTTCTATTTTCGGATTTTAGTTTATAAATATTGTATAAAATTTGAAATTTTTCTACATGTAACTTTAACTGTTCAAAATCTTTCAGCGATTGAATTAATTGCGGTGTCCAGAATGTAG